CCTCTGCGTTTGGAAGATGCAGACATATTTTAGGCACAGAGTCAGCCTAGTTCCTTGATATACTAAGCTGATCACACAATCCAAATATCTTTTTCGATACACTTTTTAACACAGTATTGCACAACTGCCTTGTGTTTTAAACGTGATCTCAATCTCTTTCCTCCCCCTCATTTTATCCCTCATCCCCCCAGTATTGGTTCAAACATCTACTACTCCTTTTAAATAAAATTGGCTGTCCTGCTTTATTTGGAATGAGATGTTTTTGAACAAAATCTAAAAGCAGAAACAAAAAAAGATAATACAGCAGAGAGAAAGAATTCACAGTCCTCCAATTGTTGGACTGCAATCCCAATCAGCACTGCTGATGTTCAGGAGTGATGGAGGTTATAATTCCATGCTTAGTGGAGAACTAACCTCTGCTTTATTATAGTAGATATTTTCATAAGTAAAATATCACTTACAAATCAGTTAAACTTTGGTCCAATGCACAATAGCCTTATCTGTTCTAGACAGGATCTATGAAGACTATAGCAACGCCAGTAGAATCAAGTACCGTATTCCATCATCTTTTAGCCAAAAGAAATTAACTTTGCTGCTTCTATATAGTAAATAGATTCTTAACCATGCAGTCTGTGAAATAATAATTTAGTTTGGTATGATTGGGAAAATGTACATTCATCTGATTATTCAATTGTGTAAAAGCCAAGAACCATATATGCTGTTTCATCACCACTATCTATAGGTTGCTTTATAACGGAGAGTCAAAATGCCATGTTAAGATTACTAGGAAAGTGATGCATGTGTTTACTTCAGAGGCACAATATCAATTTTTCTGAATCTGCTATGAAACAAACAAAAAATATATAGATTTTTTTTTCTACAGTTAGTCATTGACTTACAACCAAAATTGAGCCCAAAATTTCTGTTGTTAAGTGAAACATTTGTTAAGTGAGTTTTGCCCTATTTTATGCCTTTCTTGCTACAGTTGTTAAGTGAATGACTGCAATTATTAAGTTGGTAACATGGCTGTTGAGTCAATCTGACATCCTCATTGTGTTTGCATGTCAGGAGGTTGCAAAAGGTGATCACATGACCCCGGGACAGGACACTGCAACCATCATAAATATGAACTCGCTGCCAAGCATCTGTATTTTGATCATGTGACTGTGGGAATGCTGCAGTGGTTGTAAGTGTGAAAATCAGTTCTAAGTCACTGTTTTCACGGCTGTTGTAACTTAGGTCACTATATGAACTCTTCTAAGTTGAGAACTATCTGTATTCTATTTTACTATATTTACTAGTGTCAGAAATACCTCATTTAACTGGAGATTTTGACATCCCATCTTTTTGGATTCAGTCATACCCCATTACTATGCTTTGCAGCAAATAGGGTATAGGAAAATTCAAAGCAGTATGATTGCAGCATCTTAATGAGCCATTCAGTTCTTTGCTTACTATTGCCCTGCAGTATTACCCGTTCATTAGAAGACCTCCAAGCAGTTTTCCCTGCTAAGGGTCACTAGTGGCTTTCCAATTTTTTTAAGGAACTGTAGCAATTGGAGAAATACTGCTATGTTTGCAAGAAACATAGGTGGCAATCGCAGATAGGAGAGCCTTTGCACCACTTATTGTATGCCAATTGCTGCCTCTCCTGGATCAGGAGTCCCTGGACTCAGCCATTTAAGTCCTAGTCATCTCATGGCTGGACTATTGTAACACGCTCTCCGTGGGGCTACCCTTGAAGAGCTTTCGGAAGGTACAGCTGGTGCAGTGTGCAGTGGCGCAGGCAGTTCTTGGGACGTAACACCACTGCTCTACAAGCTGCACTGGCTGCCAGTTTGCTTCTGTGTACAATTCAAGGTGCTGGTAATCATCTTTAAAGCACTTCAAGGCATGCTGTCACGCTACTTGAGGGACCATCTCATGTCACTGGGATTGGCCCACCCCACCTATGCTGGCAGAGAAGGCATGCTGCAGCCCCATCGGTTAGGATATTCCAGCTGGCAGGGTCCAGGATAAGAGATTTCCCTGCCATCGCTCCTACCCTTTGGAACATCTTGCCCCTCCAGAGTGAGGTCAGCACCAACTCTTGTAACATGCGCTTTAAGCTCATGTAACATGAGCTTAAAGATCTGGCTCTGGGGGAATTTCACATGGGGGAGTGGTTGATAGATTAATAGCAGATCCCACTTCCCTCCCTACCCCCCCCCCACTCATCCTACTCCCTCCCTTCCCATCTTTTAGCTAGGTCTATGTATTGTACTTTGTATTTTTGTAGTATCTTATTTATATAGTTTATCTTTTTAATATTTAGGCTGCCTAAAGTTACCCTGTGATAAGATGGATGGCCAATAAATTTAATAAATAATAAATAAACAATCAATTCCTTGGGCCAAATGTTATTTGTGTGTGCAACTTTGACTCCAATCCTTCAAATACACACAAAGTAGGTGGCAAATTTTCAGATGTTAATGTTAACATGCGCCACCTTTAAAATTTTTCTATTTGCTGAAGTATGACAGATCATTTTCTTTATCTAAATCAGCAGGTATTTCTTATCAACATGCTGATGAGCAAAAATTCAGTTTGTCTACCCCTTGCTCAGCATAAAGCCACATTGCTCTTCCCAAATCTTAGCTGTCATTATCTCTTTCAACTAGATTTCTTTTTATTCAACACCTATCCAGGCACACTTATACGTGAATCCTCTGGTAGTTTTTGCATTTCCTCTTGCTACCTTTCTCTTTGTACAAGGGAATAATAATCACATTTTCCCAATAAGTGCAACCTTCACAAATGTTAAACAAGTTGCACAACTAATTGTTAAACAAACATATAATAAAGTGGTACCTTGGTACTCAACTGCTTTTAAACTCATTGAATTTGGTACTCAACACATTTTGACACAAAAATTTCATCCCAATACTTACAGTTTGTTTGGTACAAGCCAGAACTTATCAGTGTTGGCTGCCTTGTAACTAATTACCTTGTTCCTTGTGGGAAAAATTTGTTTGGTACATCATTTTTGGTACTCATCACACCTCCAGGAACCAATTAACGATGTGTAACAAGGTACCACTGCAGTTTAACTTTTTTCTACTTGTACCATCTATAACAGCAGCCTTATCATTTCCCAAATCTGACAACATTCATATAATTATTTTTATTCATTCACACACACATACACATACACAATCTCCATACAGACAGAAATTAATGTAGCATTTGATTCAATTCCATTTTTCCACATGCAGTTACTATCAATACTTTAAACAAATTCTTCCAGCATTTCCTCATTTTCATTTCATTCCAAATAATTTCATCACTTTTATTTTAATTCCTTTCACTCTCTTGGGGACTCTTTATTTAGCAATCTTCAGCCTTTCCAAAACAATTGTTTAATTCCATCAACATGCCCCTGCATTTTCTCTGCTTCTTTTCATCTTAACCATTCCTTGCTCTCTTTCACTTTGTTTTTTGCAAATATCTTTTTTCTCTATATACAGTGTTATACTTCTATAGAAAACTTTCTGAGATTTGGAAGCATTCATTCTCTTCTATACATTTTTCTCTTATCTACAGCATCTTTCATTTCATCATTTTTTACCAAGCATCCTTTTTCATACTCTGTTAATATAATTACACATACACTCCACATGCTCTGTTACACAATTCTTTCCACTGTATATAAGCATTTTCCACACTATCTTTCTTTAGATCTTTCCAACTTTGTTGGGAGATAACTCTTCTTCTGTTTCATATAAGATTCCTACTTTCTGCAGTCATTTGATTTGCATTTTAGTTCATAATACTTCTTTCCTTTTCTTCCATGTTCATTTTCTTCTGCAAAAAACCCCCAAATCTAGAATTCCTCATCACTTTTATATCCTATGCTCGTTCTTTCTCTTTCATTATGTATAGTGAGATTCATCATGCTTTTTAATTCATTCCTTTTCCACGGTGTCTACGTGAACAAATATAGCTTATTACACTTGTTTGAAACAGTATTTTCCTTAAGGAGACAGTCACCAAAGAGTCAGCATTTATTTTTGGCTTTCAGAATGGCTCATTCCACTTTTTATTTTTCTTACTCCTATCTTGTCCATCAGCTAGGATAACATTTTCTCTTCTGGATTGCATTCATTCAGAAAACTGGACAAATTTCCCCAGAACTCCTTCTACCATTATCACAATTAACTGGAGCATATCATGTAACTTTTACTAACCTATAGATTTCTACTTTCATGTACACCCATAACAACCTAGATAAAACCTAGATACTTATCACATCACACATTTTAACTAGAAGTACAAAGTTTTGCCCCAAGTATGGTTATATTATTTTATGCTATCTAAGATCTCTACTGTGGAGAGAACCTTGTAAGGAAACATATTGGTACTGGTATCTAGCCAGTTAGGAAATCCATGATGTGATATATATCTCTGTGTCAAGATATATCCAATTACATACTGACAATATTTACAAGAAAATGCAAATTATATAAAACCAACAATTATATGTACCGCTAAATAAAAAACTGAATCTGAATGATGGTTTGGGTCTACTGATGTCCAAGATGGGGCACTTGAAAGATGACAATTTCTCACAATTTCCACAAATAAGAAACCCAAGTTTTCCATCAACATACTCACTAGACACTACAGTATACACAAATTTTTTGATGGATATTTATGTCATGAGTGGGGCTTTTGTGGGGTTATATGCATTACATGTAATTTGTGAAGTGAAATTTAACACATCGAAACTCTAAGCATGGAAATTGCATACAAAAACAAGGAGCTATGAGCCATTTGGCTAGCTAAATATTCAAATTTGGAATTTGGCTATCACAGACATCTCTTGAATATGTTATAAATTCTGTAAAACCATTCAATCTATTGGTACAATAAGTATGGTGCTGGGATATTGGGAAACTGTGAACAACCTTGCCCAAACCCAAGCCTGATATAAAATATAATAAAAGAAAATAGTTACTAACCTGTGCATTCATGCTGTAGTCCTTTGCCATAGTATCCCTTTTCACAGATACACTCAAAGTGTCCTGTGTGAGTACCACACTTGCAACTTGCCATGGTATCACAACAATTTTCAGTCCCCTCACAAAGATAGGAGCAATATGCTATATCTTCCTGAATGTAACTTCCAGAAGGCAGATCTGTAATTAGGATATTTGGGAGGACACGATAGGGGTTCCAAATAAATAAGCAAATAAATAGTTAGAGACATCTACTCATCTAGAGTTTTTTTTTTTTAAAGTAGGCATTTCATTGAAATGCTAAAGTAAGCTAAATCCTAATAGTTAAAATTACTGAAACAATGCTAATTATTTTTAAATCCATTTATCTTTCCTGTTCAAGCAGATATTTGATGAGAATAAGAGATCAATTAATTTCCAATGATAGTTCTGCTCCATTTCGTTAACACTTGGAAATCTGCATCTGTGAATTAATTTCCATGGATACAATGGAATTATTATCCTATGCAAACTTTATTATAATAAAACTGAGATGCAGAAGTCCTCTCATTCAAACATTATTGTGTCTATCTAGAAAGCATTGTTCTATCCTTAAAAGATGGAAAATAATCATTAAACTATACATTTTAATATTTCCAATTTTATCTGACAACGTTACCCAGTAAATTAATCAGGTAAGGTATCTTGAACATACGGTTAAAATGAGTTCTGTAGACTTTAATACAAACATTTATTCTCTAATCAAGATATTCAAAGAGAAAATTCCAAAAGTCTCTGACTTTTTATAAAATGCAATTCAATTTTTAATTTTTGTATTTATAAAATGCAATTCATTTTCTTACAATTCTGAAAACCTACACAAGTTTAAAAACATGTATAGTTCATTTATTCAATGTAGAAATATTGTATATTGAGTAAAGGAGGAGGCATGATTTAATGTGCTGCTTATGTCTCTAAATAAGTGTAAGACATAGAGGCAAAAATAAAGTGAATGGATTGTTCAGAACTACAAACATAAGGTGTCTTGAAAACTTCATTTTAACTATATGAGATTGGGGTGATTGGTCACAAATATTCTTCTTGAACCTGCCACACACACATTAAATTTTAATGTGTAATGAAAAACATTGAATCACAATCAGAAGAATTATTTTAAAATCAAAATGAACATCTTACTTTGAAAATAACTACAGTAGTTGGGCAAGGGATACGGTCGAGTTTCACAATGTTATGCTTGCATAATGAATATCTTCCAGTTAATCTATTACAGGTAATCCTCGACTTGTAACAGTTCATTTAGTGACTGTTCAAAGTAACAATGGCACTGATAAAAGTGACTTATGATCATTTTTCACACTTACAACACTGCAGTATCTCCATGGCCACATGATTAAAATGTGCACACTTGGCAACTGGCTCATACTTACGACTGTTGCAGTGTTGCAACAGTCAAATGACCTGTTGCAGGTCAAATGATTTCCTTTTGCGACCTTTTGACAAGCAAAGTCAATGGGAAAGCCAGATTCACTTAACAACCATATTACTAACTTAAGAACTGCAGTAATTTGCTTAATAGCTGTGGCAAGAAAGGTTGTAAAATGGGGCAAAACTCACTTAACTGTCTCGCTGAGCAACAGAAATGTCAGGATCAATTGTGGTCTTAAGTCGAGGACTACCTGTACTGGTGTAACGGCCATATATTTCAAATTCAGATCATATATTATCCCTGAACTTGAAAACACACAGGTAATCAAAGCCAGACCTAGATCCAATACCTTCATGGAGAGCTCTGCGCGCTAAAGCTTCAAACTCTGCAAAACTGTGGAGCAAGTAGCAGTGTTCCTCCTTTGGATGAGAAGCCATGTCATTCAGCTCTCTGATATTGCCTTGCCATATCCCAAATGTGAAGATTTCTACTCCAAATTCACGCAAGGATGCTGCAATGGGACGAGGATCCCCTCCATTGGAATATCCATCCGTAATCAAAAATATTACTTTGGTAGCATTTACACGGGAATGAACCAATATTTGCTAGAAAAAGAAAAAAAAGGGGCGGGGGGAAGGGAAAAAATCAAGCAGAACTATCAAGTTGGTGATCTGCTCACAGGTTCTTCTACCAACATTCGCTGTTTTCTTATACAATTTAGTTTTTTGAAGGACTACTGTAAGATCAACATTTCTGTATGAGACAGGGTATATAATACAGAATGGAATAATGCTTTTTGGATATTGGTGAAAGCTTTTTTCTGCCACCCCTGGTGGTGGTCTACTCCTTTCCCTTTTCTGATCATACCACAGCGAGGCAACAATACAGAAATTATTTGACACTGACTTTGTCTGGAATGTTGTTTTTTTTTCAGTTTCCCACTACGGTTTATACATTTCTGGTGATTACCCATTTAAGCTAAATATATTCAAATGATTTAACCTTTAAAGACCAAGTTATGCATATTTCAAGTTACAGCAAGCTTTTAAAAATTATTTCTAAAGGAAAATATTATCTTATTTTCTTTACTAGCATAATTAATTTCATCACTTCCACTGCTTTTCCTGGAAGGCTCTTGTGACTTGTCATTTGAACCTATGGGGGTGGCGGGTAACTAAAATGGCAGTGATATGGGGCAAACAGGCAGGTGGGGAGAATTGGAGGCAGTCTCTTGCCTTGGGGCTGGGAAGGGACCAAGCTGGGAATGGCCTGAATTAGGGTAGGTCCTTGCTTAACAGTCATATAGAACTCCCAATGACAGCAACAGGGACTAGCCAAATTGCTATCATTTAAGCACAGCGGTCATGTGATATTTCATTTAACAACTATTTCGTTTAGCAATGGAGTTGCTAGTTCCACTGCTAAATGATCATTAAGAGAGGACTACCTATACAGTTCATTTGTTTTGTGAAATGGTTATATAAATTTGAATAATAAAGTAAAATAAATAAATTACCAAAGAAACTTTTCTTCTTTTCTTTTCCAAATTATTTCTATATCCAAACTCTTTCTGTCACCTCAGATTTTTTTTGTCCTACTGCTGTTTCTTAAGAACAAAAGGCATTTTTTTTCTGTAGAAATCATACAGAATTACATATTACTTCATTTTTCATTTGATTTAAGTTTTAGGTTAGGCAAATAAGTTTTGGATATTGGGTAAATATGTGTTTTACTAAATTTAATTTGATCTAAATAAAAACTAAAAACTGTAACCCATCAAACTACTCCTGTTTTTAAAAAAGAATAAATTTAAACATGTAGCAATGCTTAACAATTGTGAAGTTTTGAGGTTAAACATGTCTGAACCAGTTTTGTGCTTATTCAACAATTTATATATACATCTCTCTCTCTCTTTTAAGAGATTTATTGGAAGTTTTAGTAGGTATGAGCAGAGATATTTTGGAGAAGATACTTCATGTTAAACATGATTGCCAAAATCTACACATATGAAGAATTGAGAAAGAGCTTCAAAATGCTTGAGGCCTCTTCAAACATGGAATAAAATGTAGTTTGCCTTTTTAAAAAAAACAGCAACCATTTCATGTGTATTAGGATTTATCTAAAGCTTTCATTGGTTTCTAATCTCAAAATGTTAGGAAACTGTGCTTTCAGTTGTAACAGCCATAGCTATAGGAGGTTTTGAGGGGTGTAAGGGGATTTGGCATTGTCTCTGTAGTCATAATTTAGTCATCCGAAATTTTAACTGCAAAATAAAGAGACAGATATTATAATTATTTAAACATATTTGATGGGTATTCGCTCATACAGAATGCTGTATTTACCAGATAAGTTTTCAAATAGATCAAGAAGTAGTTTTCATGCCATTCAAATTGGTCAGATAGTCTTTGGAGAGGGGGCTTTCCTAAAATAACTCTGTTAGTGTATAAAGTATTTATTTATTAAATAAGTATGCATCCACACACTTCTTGACTGTCAGTATACTTACTGACATTGTTGGTGGGATGCAGGAAATTACTTAGGGGCATAGTATGAAGGCCCCCTTTAATTTTACCTATCCCCCACCCCCCAAATGCTGTTTTCTTCAAAAATAGTTGAACAACATTTTTTGTAACTTGTAGTGTCTGCTTCTTTCATGGTACTGCAAATTGTAGGAAGTAAACAATTTAGGAAAGGATCTCTTCATAGGCAAGGCCATGGTGGAGAGCAGTGATGGGTTTCAATATTTTTTACTACTGGTTCTGTGGGTGTGGCTTGGTGGGCATGGCATGACTTGGTGGGCGTGGCTCGTGGACATGGCAGGGGAAGGATACTGTAAAATCTCCATTCCCATCCCACTCCAGGGGAAGATTACTACAAAATCCCCATTTCCTCCCTATCAGCTGGGACTTGGGAGGCAGAGAATAGATGGGGGCGGGGCCAGTCAGAATTTTTACTACTGGTTCTCCGAACTACTCAAAATTTCTGCTACCAGTTCTCCAGAACTGGTCAGAACCTGCTGAAACCCACCTCTGGTAGAGAGAAGAGTAAAGGAAATAAGATCATGGAAATGTGCAAGAATCTTAGAAAATAGAAAGTAAGAACAAATATCTGAAGAAAGACATCACACACTGAGTACATTTTTGCACAGTAGAATTATTGCAAGGGCAAAAAGCCTGATCTATGACATGAGCAGGTGATATAAAGCAAGTTAGAGTAATCAAAATCACAGGGGATCATGCATGAGCCAGAGGACACATTCACGTGGTTTAGTATGCTAAAATGTTTTAGGTTTGTATTCTCTAGCTAGTAAAGGTAGAAACTATAATCATAAAATAACCCTATATAAACTCTAAAGCAAATAATATGCTCAGCTGTAGGGAATAGATAGGATGTATGATACAAGGAATTTATAATAAACTATGAACCTGGTTGAGTATATCATCTAAAAGTGTCCATCAACAAAGGACAGAAAGGACTAGAAAATGAGCAATTTATCGCATGAATAAATTATTACCTATCAAGCACATAAGAAAGGGTTTATTGAGAATGATTATTCTGAAGAAAAGAAAAACATGTCCACAATAAAAAAAACCCATGTATGCTTACAGTATTCTGGCTAAGAGACACTTTATTAAATATATATTAAACTGAACCAAGTGGGGAAAATATATTTTTGTGGCTGGCTGTTTCCAATGTGATAATATTAACATATGAACATATTTAAAAAAAATGATTACCACAGTTTTATAAATAAATCAAGCAAATAATTCCTATGAATTTTTGTTCATTTTGTTCAGTTCATTATATCCTCTTTGGCCTAAGGCTTTCAGTCCTATGGAAGATAAAGAGAGTTGCAAACTAGAAAAAAGATATGAAACAGGCTTCGACTCAACCCTTCCAAGACCGAGTGGCTGTGGCTGCCGGCGTCCTGGTATAGCCAGCTGACGCCATCGCTGGTTATTGGGGGCGAATCATTGGCCCCCACGGAGAGGGCCCGCAACTTGGGTGTCCTCCTGGATGCGCGGCTGTCTTTAGAAGGGCATATGACAGCCGTGGCCAGGGGGGCTTTTTGTCAGGTTCGCCTGATACGCCAATTGCGCCCCTTTCTGGACCGGGACTCCCTACACATGGTCACTCAAGCACTCGTCAGTTCTCATCTGGACTATTGTAACGCTCTCTACATGGGGCTCCCCTTGGGGTACACCCGGAGGCTCCAACTGGTGCAGAATGCGGCCGCGCGGGGGATTATGGGAGCGACGGGGCGCTCCCATGTGACTCCTCTCCTGCGCGAGCTGCATTGGCTTCCGGTGGACTTCCGGGTGCGCTTCAAGGTGTTGATCACCTTTAAAGCACTCCATGGCTTAGGGCCAGGGTACTTACGGGACCGCCTTCTGCCACCAATAGCCTCCCACCGGCCGGTTCGCTCCCACAGAGAGGGCCTCCTCAGGGTGCCGTCGGCCAGACAATGCCAGCTGGCGACCCCCAGGAGGAGAGCCTTCTCTGTGGTGGCACCTACCCTATGGAACAATCTACCCGCAGAGATACGAGTGATCTCCGACCTCCGGACTTTTCGTCAGGCCCTAAAAACTTATTTTTTTCAGTTAGCCGGTCTGTCTTGATTTTAGGGTTAGTTTTAAAATTTTAATATTGATTTTAAATTGACAAGTTTTAAATTACGGGCCAAATTTATAAATTATTTTAACTTTATTTTTAACTGTGATGTTATGTATAGATGTTTTTATTTTGGCTGTTCACCGCCCTGAGTCCGAAAGGAGAAGGGCGGTATAGAAATTTGAATAATAAATAAATAAATAAATAAATAAATAAATAAATAAATAAATAAATAAATACTAGTATTGTTATTATGGCTGTTGATCAATATTCTGTTTGTTGAACAATCCTGCTGACTACAGCTCTCAGCAAGCCAATAAAAAAATTGCTGGGTGTATATACACATATTTATAGATAAGCATGTTTACAGGTACTCATATAAACAGTGAGGTGGAGGGGCTTCAGTAAGGATTTTAACTGGAGTTGACCATTTACACTGATAAATTAGGGAATCTTGTCACTGCGAAAAAATTATGGGCATTTGTACTTTTTTCTTTATTTGATTTTCCTTTTCGGTTGGAACATCTTAAATTTACAGTTCTATTTCTTTCTGAAGAATAAGGTACTTAAAATGCTGAAGCAATGTTTAAAATTTCCTTCAAAATTCTTCTTAGACAGTCATCTCTTTTACAATTAATTAACCGTGCAATTAAGTTCCTCTATCATCATGTAATTGATTAACCTGTCAGGACAAAGTCTATTTTTTCAGTAAATATTTCTCTTAACCCAAAGTGGAAAAACTGAAATATTTTCCTTTCTAATGCCACTTAAAAAGATAACTAATTGCAGTTGTCTTTAGCTGGACCACTAAGCAATAATAAAATCAGGGCCTTTGTTTCTTTTATTGTAGAATGTAATTATACTTTCCAGGAAGGAAGTGCTAAAATAACTCAGGGGCTCTCCTTGGCCTCTAAAAACAAATTTCTTAAAAAGCAAAAACCAGTCAATCTACAAATTAAAGTTGGATTTAGAACAAGGGTGGATAACTGATCATAGTGATATCATAAATCACAATTCTGCAGCAAATGTATATATTTAATTAGTAATCAATTATCTTAGCCACTTTGTGTTTCCTGACAAATTTTGGCTAAGGTCATTCACATATCCAAATAACATTATCCTTTCTTTCATCTTGTGTGTAAATTTTAACTAAAAGAGCACTGCTCTGTGAACTTCTTTCTTCTCTACTGAAGTATTTATAATACTTACATGACTTCTAGAGCTGTGCATGCTTTGAACATTCTTTGGAAGAGATGGTTCTTTATAACCTGGGTGACTGAGAAAAAAGCAGCTGCTTTACATGAGTCAACTCATTAAAGGAGCTTTGGCTTTAAAGAGTCACATAAAAAGCAAGTGCATTTTTCTCAGGAATCTGTACAAGACTGAAGCTGTAATCTGGCCTGCAAAAAATAATCAGTCTTATTTGGCTTGAAAAACAATGGAATCTTTCCCATCAAAAAGATAAATGTAGTTTGAGCTTGAAAATAGAAGACAATGGTGCAATTTTTCATAGGAAGAAAATAAAGATGATTATTAAAATGTAAGTTCCTCTATTTCCTCAGTAATTTTAGTATAATAATAGTATTATTTGGTCAGTAAATATAGCAAACTTTGCAAAACAGCTGTATTATCTTAATTATTGCAATATGCTATTAATGTTACACCTCTCAATACAAACTGAGCACATTGGTATGTTATGATAAATGAAGTTACTTTTTAATTGGGATCCTTGGCTTCTTCCTCTCCTCATAAAACTGAGTCAAAACCTAATTTGAAAATAATACTACATTAGTTTGGTTTTGTTCTGCAAGTCCCTCTGCCATGAGAAAGCAAGCAGCACGCTTGCTCTTTCCTTATGCCTAAAACAAGACAATCTATATATAACACCATTACAAAAACAAATAATTTCTATTATCGTATTTTCCAGGTCTACATATTTCTTTTAATTTGTCATTATCCAACCTACAAAATTCTGCACAGCCAGAACTGATTTCTGAAAAAGCCTTCTTCTGTGTTCTATCCTGCATAGATGGCATCCTCCCATAAAGTATGAATAATTTTAAAATTAGTTCTCTATTATCTTCTTTCCTGGATTAGTATATATAAAAGATTATGTGTGTGCGTATGTGTATGTGTATGTATATGTATGTATGTATGTATGTATGTATATATAGATATATATATATAGTATATATCTTTTTGAATTTGTTCATGGAACATATTTGTTTCATAATCAATTTCCCCTTCAGGATCAAGGACTACCTGTATCCATCATTTGACTCTGAGTCTAGTTCAAACACTGAATTTCAGACCTTAATTTACAGATTCGTTTTTGCTATTTAATTTCTTTATTTTTTATGCCTGGCATATGAGGTCAACACACAGACCCTGTCATTTAAATAAGAATGGTCAACCAGCATCTATATCTATAGTCCTCTAAAAGTTGCTGAATTCCCATAATTTCTCACAACTGATTGTGTTAGCTAAGCTGATGGAAGCTAAATATCTGTAGGACAATATATGGTTTATCCTGCCAAAGACAATACAGTATGCAAAGCACTTCAGAATGCATTGACCATATACAAAGCAGTTCAGCACTTGGCAGTGAAGAAGGAGGTACTCAAAACCTCTTGACAACTTTTTTTTCTTTTAAAGTCTTTGTAACCACTTTATACCCCCCAGTATCCCTTCTATATCCATATGTATTTCACTCATATTGGTGTGAAACTTGATGGAAGAAACATTTGGGAAAAACATTTCTCTGTGAAGAACAGCTGTGATGGAATGGATGAGACATCCTGTTACATTATGCTGTGGAGAAAATAAATGCAGTTATGTGGTTTGGCTCTGAATATATGAAATTAGGGTCAAATTTTATATTTGTGGGATATCTGAGATCAGAACTTCCAGGATAATTCTCTGGGACTAAAAACATATGTGAGAAGTTTGATTTAGATTAGGGCTTTTTCCATGAATGTTGGGAGAAAGAGGTGTTTTTCCTTACTAGTTTTTGATAATATAAACTGACCTGTCCCTCAAACATCATTAATAGTCAACCAGAAAAAAAATATGGATACCTCTGTTGTATGTTTTTTCAGCAGAGCATCTGCGATGAAATAGAGATCCATGACAATTTATTTGATAATATGCTTATTAGTTTCTAAACTGTCACTGTATTTGCTTTTTTTGCTTCCATACTTAATAGCATACAGGAGATTCTGATTAGGGAAGATGAGTGGAGAAAGTATTTATTACATTGTCTCTTCTTGTATGATAGGAATTCTGTATGACATCATTAAAAATCACCGAATCCACCATCATTTTTTTTCATTAAAAAAGAAAAGACACTGAAAAACCACGAACTGCCAATGTCACAGCTTGTTCTACTCAAGTTCTCCTGGAAAAACACTATATTCTTACAAATGTAAAAATGTATAGAAATTTTGTACTATCTGGGATGACCCATTCAATCCCTTAATGGTGCTGCTGTCAGGAAGCCACATGGGGACACTTGGCCATCTTTACCCATCTCACAAGGGTCTCTAAAGATGGACTTTTCTGACCTAATTTTCCAAAATATATTACACATTCAAGTTGCAAATAAATATGGTATCCTAGAATGACCATTTTCTTCAAGCTGGTACCCTCTAGAGTAAGAGTACACTGTCAGAATCCCCAAGTATTGATCATGCTGCGTGGAAATTTACTGAGTCTATCAAGCATGGAAAAAGCAGCTATAGAAAGTTCATGCTTGGTGTATGCCCTGCACAGCTTTTTTGAGCAAAAAGCATTCAGAAGTGGCAGCCAAAATTGTGTTAGGGAAGCCCACGCCATTTTTTCAAACTATTTAATTAGCAAGAACCAGACAGTCGCATGGAAAATGTTAATTTGCAGTTTTAGTTATTATGTCAAGCTGACTCGACCAAGGCCACAAAAGGAGTACAGGTAGTCCTCGACTTACAACAATTCATTTAGTGACCGTTCAAAGTTACATCATCACTAAAAAAGTGACTTATGACCATTTTTCACACTTATGACCATTGCAGCATTCCCCACAGTCATGTGATCAAAATTTGGATGCTGGGCAACTGCTTCACACTTGCAGTGTCCCTGGGTCATTTGATCACCTTTTGCAACTTCCTATGACATGCAAAGTCAATGGGGAAGCCTGATTCACTTAACAACCCTGTTACTAATTTAACAACTGCAGTGATTCACTTAACAACTGTGGCAAGAAAGGTCGTAAAATGGGGGCAAAATGCACTTGACAACTGTCTCACTTAGCAACAGAAAATCTGGCTTCAATTGTGGTCCTAGTAGAGGACTACCTGTAATCAGAACTTGGCAGTGACTGGAACCCAAGTCTCCGTGGGTTCTAGTCCAGCCCCGGAACAGGTCACTAACGCACGCCTGAATAAACTGCGAGTTTTTATCCGGAGTTGGTAAATTAATTCCACATTAACCCCAACCAACTTACCGCGGCTTGCTGGAAAGCCCCCTTGGTGTAGGTGCCGCCCCCTCGGTAGCCGATGGCCGGGATTTCGCGGCTGAGTAGGGCGCACTTGTGCTGCCGCTGCTGCGGCCGAGTGGGAGGCGAGATGTAGTCCACGCGTGGCACCACGTTGTTCTTGGAGGAGAAGGTCACGATGGCCACCCGCGTGGCCGTGGGCACGACCGGGAAGTCGGAGAGCAGCTTCTTGACGAAGCGCAGCTCGCTGAGAAAGTTCGCCTGGCCCACGCTCGACGACTCGTCCACCAAGAAGACCAGCTCCAAGCGGTCGCTCTTCTCCCGCAGCTGCCTCACCTGCCGCTTGAAAGCCCGCCCGAGTTTCTCCACTTTGTTGCTCGTCGCCGCCGCCCCGGGCGACTCAGGCAACAAAGTCCCGGAGGCGGCCGGCTTGAATGGAGCCGAGAGCGCCGCTAGAGAACTCAAGTTGAAGGGGCGATACAGGCTGCGGGGCTGCACGGGCGCCCACGCCAGAGCCCCGCCGACCCACAAGCACAGCCCCGCGAGCCACATCCCTCCGGGGGCTTGTTCACCCATCTACGATTAAGTCTTTTTTCCCCCCCACGAGTTTGCTCCCTCCTCTCACGCCCGGCCCGGCCTTTTTTTTTTTTCCTCCCCCGACGGCTGAGTTTAAGTCTCCCACTCGCTTCACCGCGGCGCGCACGTGGCGAGGGCTGCGCGCGTTTGTCTCGGTTTGGCGCGTCCCTGCTAAAAAAATTATTCTCCTTTCGCCGCCGCCGCCGCCCCCTCGGCAAGCCCTTCCCCGCAGCGCTCAAAAGGCAAAAAAAAAGGGGGGGGAGATACGAGTGTCTCTGCCCTCCCTTCCCTCCGCTTCTTCTTCCCCCGTCCTCTTCCTCGCTCTGCCGAAGTTTGTTGCTGCCTGAGATTCCTTGTCACCAGAGCCCCGCCGGTGTCTGCCAGGCTGTCAACATTCCCAACGCAAACACATCGGCACCGAGGCTTAAGCTCTGATTGATCCCATATGTCTGGCAGACAGCACCGGACGGAGAAAAGGGAGGGGACGCGAGAAAGGGGAGGGGGGGGAGGGTGGAGAAGGCCCGCGACTCGATGGATGGATCCAGATACCAGGAGGGCCACGGTAATTGGAAACACTTTGTGCAACAATAACGCGCTGCCTGCGGGAGACGCGGGGTGGGGTGGCGGGCGTGCTTGGATGAGGGAAAAGTGGGGTGGGGGGGGTGAGAATTGTTTTCGGGAATCCTCGGTTGCTTCCCCGACGTCTCTTTATTGTAAGGGAGCCGAAGAATGGAATGTTACTTTCTTATCTGCACCGAGGGGAATACCAGGTCAATTCAGTACTTCACTCGAGACTTTTTAACAGTCCAGCATTTCAGGATATTTTTCTTCTCTTACCTGACTTAGAAGGCTTATCTGCACATGGGCAATTCATTCTTGGTACATTAGCCAGAACCTGCCACAGGAAAAGAAAAATGGACAAAGTACGTCCCTCCCTATTTGCTGCTGTCTCCTCTTCCAACTTTCTAGCTCTGGAACCTGTACTGACAAAAGAGATCACAGTACAGGTAGTCCTTGACTTAACAACAGTTCGTTTAGTGACCGTTCAAAGTGACAACAGCACTGAAAAAAAAAAGCGATGAAAGACCATTTTTCACACTTATGACCGTCGTAACATGCACATGGTCATGTGATTTACATTCGGATGCTTGGCAACTGGTTCGTATTTTATGACGGTTGCAGTGTCCCAGGGTGATGTGATCATCTTTTGCGACCTTCTGACAAGCAAAGTCAATGGGGAAGCCAGATTTACTTAACAACCATGTTACTAAACAGCTGCAGGTTTCAATGGCCAGGGCCCCTTCCCATAGTTATGTGACTGCATTTTGGGCTCTTGGTAACCGGCCTGCATTTATGACGGTTTGTAGTCTCCTATAGTCGTGTGACTTCAATTTATGACTTTTTCCCAGAAACTATCATTTACTTTTGGTTTTCGGCAAACAATGTCGTATATTGAACACTGGATTTGCTTAACAACTGTGGTGTTCGCTAAATAACTGCAACAAAAAAGATCATACAATCTGGTGGGTCATGTACTATCCCACTTAACAATTGCTACAATTTATGAACAAAATTTCAGTTATAAATGGAGGACTACCTGTAGTACCATACTGCACATTTAAAGATTTGGGAAGTTAGTTCACCAACTTCCATAAGCAAGCAGTGCTATCTACGTCTCCTCGAGTGGGCTCTCCTGGAAGAGTGCATAATAAAATATAACATTTGCTGCCCTCAATGCTAATCCATGTCCTGTTACTTCAGAATCATTGCTGAAGGTGACTGATTTTTCCCATTCAGCACATCACTAGTCAGTGGTAAAATATCTGCCAGTCTGGACATTGTGGCAGGAATACATGGATGGATCTCACTTCAGGATTCTGCCTCTGCCTGTATTCTCTCTAGGCTGATTTTTCTTGCTTTCTTCTGGATCCCACTTGAGCACTTTCAGGAACGTTGGCGGGGCGGAGTCAAGATGACAGCTACAACCATGCAGTCAAGGCCTGCTACATTTTTTACAAGTATCAATGTGCATAAAATGGCTGGGGCTTCAGTTGCATACCTATGGCTGCCATCTTGACTTTCTTAATGCACGTAAAAATGATTGGGGGTTTGATTACATGATTGTTGCCACTATTTTGATGAGCCATGGTGGCGCAGTGGTTAAGAGTGCAGTACTGCAGGCTACTTCTGCGGACTGCTGGCTTCTTGCAATTTGGCAGTTCAAATCTCACCAGACTCAAGGTTGACTCAGCTTTCCATCCTTCCAAGGTGGGTAAAATGAGGATCCAAATTGTTGGAGGCAATATGCTGACTCTGTAAACTGCTTAGAGAGGGCTGTAAAAGTACTGTGAAGCAGTATATAAGTGTAAGTGCTATTGCTATTTTGGCTTTTTTAACCCCTGTGGGACACCTCTGGGCTCTTCCTCCATTAACACAGAAGTGAAATAAATAAAGATAAGGAAAAAGAGCAGGGTAGAAATATCCCAGAGGGAAGGGAGATATTGTAGATCTGGCTAATTGAATTTCACAAGCTGGATAGGTGGTGGGTACAAATGAAACTGACAAATACATAGAAAGTGACATGACTCTTTTTCTCCCCCAAATGCAATTGTGGAAATCTGCTGTGCTCTGTCTCTGTCCCTACCTTGTTAGAGAGAGAGAAGCTGATGTCAGAAGAGAGAGGAAAGGAGGTGATGGATATGAAAGGAATTCAATAAATAAAGTGCCAAGGGAAAAGGGAGAGACGAAGGAAAACGGCTCACTACCTCAAGATAATGGGTGAGAAAGCCTTGCAGATTTAACACAATGTAAAGCTGTTTGGGAACAATATCAGATTCAGGGGGGAAAAGACTACCCATGTACATGTATTTTGGTACACAAAATGATGGCATAAGGCTGTTTAACTCCTGGGCTGGAGAAAAATTGAAGCCAGCGTCGTGTGATCAAGAGATCGTCAGTACGTGACATAAGCTGCAACTGAGGAGTAGGCCTCATAACCTGTACCTTTTCAGTCCTTTCTCCTACCTTAGCTAGTTTGCTTGTATTTAGGATGCAATTCAATGCTGCTATCATTTGTGAAATATCTTGATTGTTTTGGAATTATAAAATGACTGTATGACAATATATACCTTGAAATTTTCACATTAAATAGCCTGTAACTCTCCAGAAATTACTGATTTCCAACATAGCTAACCTTTTTTTCAAACTTTGCTAGAAATATTTGCAGTAAAATGCATCCAAAAAGCACGTATCTAACACAGCCTATTTTTTAGTTTAATAATAAAACCACATACCTAGCATACCTGTAGAAGTTTAAATATTGTAAGACAACCCCCCCCTCTTTATAGCGTGAACTATTCATGAACAGAAATGAGATCAGTTTACCTTCCAGGATTTGCAAAGAGGAAGTAGAGATTCCATTACATTAGAAGAGGCTGGTGAAATTTATCTTTCCTTTTTTAAAACCCACACAACCACACACATTCCCACTGTGGTTTGTAACTCTTTGCTTGTAAATTCTTTCCAGGAAATACTCACCTGATCACAAAGATTGCCATGCAGCTTTGAATGGCTAGGTGATCATTCTCAGAGAAAAAAAATGTAAGGTGAAGAAAATTCTTAGATCAATGAAAATGAGCCAGCAGACATTTAAAAAAAAAATTAAAGAAGTTAAAGACAGATGAAGCAAGCTCCCATTCTTAATTCTTTTTACAGAAATGCTCTACATGAAATGGAAGCAGAATGTTCCCGTTGCAATGGTGAAAAGTTTGCAAACACAAAGGATTAAACAACTTTAATAACAGGTTACACCCCTCTCTCCCCCTCCCCCCCCAAAAAGTATACTGCAATGACAATTCAAAGATACAACTGTATGGATTTCTGAAATACTATAATTTGGACTCAACTTCACTATACTTTTCTTTAACATCTATTCATTTATGGTAGTTGCACAATAGAGTGGCTAATCAATTGGACCATTTATTAGTCAGTTAAAATATATGGCCTACCACACCATTAAACAGTTCTGCAGATTATAGCTCCATGTTTCACAGTTACTTACTGTCAGTTCATGACAAGCTAATGCTGAACATCAACTAACTATGAAAGTACAATTTATTTAAATCTTAGCAACTTCCCTGTATGTGTGAAGTTGGACATCTAAGAAGCAATTATATATTAATCCTTCTCATACTGAGATTAATGAATATTCACGTTTGCTGAATGACAGAATTCTCATCTTGCTGATCCTACCATCATTCAGCTCTTCATAGTTAAACCAGTAGTATTCAATGTCAAAAAGCTGATGGCTCAGCAAGCCACATGATAAAATAAGATTTATATGTATACATACTATTAGTTGGAGAACATGCTGTTTTTGAAATAAGACTGAATTGTAAAATAGGGCGTATGATTCTGAAGGAAGTAAGAATGAGACATTCCATTAAGACCGACCTAGTGTGTATCACAAGAAAATGGCTGTGAAATTAAGAATTTAACATCAGAACTGAATTACTGGTGTGTTTTGTGAAAAATAGGAACTATGGTCAGTTTTGTTTTCTGTGAAAATATGATCACCTTTATTTCAAATAAATTATATTTGTAATTAGTGTCCATGCAATGTCATTGTACACCTAATACTCAAAATACCTAAGAAAGGGAGTATTTCAGAGGTGGTATTCAGCTGGTTTGCACCGGTTTGTGCGAACCATTGGTGGAAATTTGGCCAAGGTCACCGAACCGGTAGCGATGGCCGGCTGGCCATGCCCCTGAACCGGTCCCCCCCAGTTGCCGATGCTGGAAAGTATCTCTGGTACTTTTCGGCAGCCTGCAGCCAGCCACCACCTCTTTGAGAGCTGCTTGTGGTTGTGGCGGCTGGCCACAGGCTGCTGAAAAATACCGGAGCTGCTGCCATCGCCGCCATGTTCTTTGCACACACACATCCCATTGCCTTGCAAGTCAGCGGCTTCTTTGCCAGCCATTTTCCAGCAGCGGCAGCTGACTTGGGGCCGCCGAAAACTCCAGTCAGCTTCCCTTCCAGACTCTGGACCAGTTGCCGCGGAAGGTAAGCAGCTCAAACAAAGAGGCGGTGGTGGGGGAAGTAGTGGGGCTAGGGCCGGGGCTGCTAAAGGAGGGAAAACGGGGGTGACTGGCGAAGGGAGGGCAGGGGGAGATAGGTGGAAATTCCAAAAATTTTCCTATCTTTTCTTGTGGGCGTGGCTAGGTGGGGGGGGGCATGTGACTGGGTGGGGGTGGTGTGAGCGATGTCAAGTTGGCTATCCCCACTCAGTCACATGCCCCCCACCTAGCCACGCCCACCGAACCGGTAGCAAAAAATTTTGAAACCCACCACTGGAGTATTTCACTTAAAGGGCATAGAGAATGCCAAAGGAGATTGAATCATCTCTGAATTCTTTTTGAAGAGGCTACATCTCCCATTTCCTGA